TATAATATTCTCCTTTGCGGAACAAATGTCAATGCTCATTCATCCTGCTTTATGATCATATTGTCTTTTCCTGGTGGTGTTTCTTTGGAACTGGAAGCATTAGAAAGTTTTTTGTTGTAAGTTTTGTTTCATGGAAATGAGGTATTTGGTTTGAATTGAAGTGAATGGTATAGAATTTAAATAATTCTTTTTTATTAACATAAATTTCCATTTGACATGCATTTCCTATACTCAGATGGCGAAGTCACCAGAGCTATATCCTGTGGTGGTGCAGGATTTCTGTTAATATTCCACCATTTGGGGAACTGGCATGGCTAGCTGCCTTGTCTGCTCTAACTGAGCATCTTACAGGGATAGGATGACATTGTTGAATTGTATGCACTGAAATTCAAAAAATTTCCCTGGATCTATTAGAATTGACATGATTCTAACATAACGCATCTCTGTTTTCCTTTATTCTCCTAATTATATAAATTTATGTAGTTATGTTCTTATAATTTTCCTTTCAATTTTTCCTCTACTTTATTGTTCCTAGTAAGGGACTTTGAAAATTTTGATTAAACTTCTTGCCCTGCATTTTTCTCTTTTTGGTTAGTGTCATTTCTTTTGTTTTACTTGCCTTACTCTTTGCTTATCATACTCAGACTTATAGTACAACTTTAATAGCAACAAACGCACGCCAGAAACTACTTATTTTTCTTAATATAAATTTCAGATCAAAGTGGACATAAACATAGGATGGGATTTATAAATGGATCACTGAATTGTGGTTTTCCCTCTATCATTTCATGATCTGAACCTATAAAATCATTTGTGTTTGCTTGCAGTGACACCACCTTAGGTGTTTGCCATGATGATTTTAATACCTTCTTTAGTGAGACTGGGTCTGGCAAGCATGTGCCAAGGGCTATATTTGTTGATCTAGAGTCCACTGTCATTGATGAGGTTGGAGGAGGGACTTACAGACAAATCTTGCACTTGGAGCAACTTATTTCTGGCAAGGAAGATGCTGCTAATAACTTTGCTAGCGGACATTATACAGGTACAAGCATCTTTTCTGCATTTCCAAAGTACTAGCAATTTTGTTAGATTTGATCACTGGCTCAAACTTCTTTGGTGTTGTATACTGCAGTTGGTCAGGCAATTGTGGATCTTTGCCTTGACCAAGTGAGAAAATTGGCTGATAACTGCACTGGTTTCAAGGATCTTTTGAATTTAATGCTGTTGGCAGTGGAACCAGTTTTGGCCTGGGCTCGTTGCTTTTGGAGCACTTGTCTGTAGATTATGGAAAGAAGTCAAAACTTGGCTTCTCCATCTACCCTTCTCCTTAGGTAATTTCTAGAAGACTTAAAGGAAAAGTACAGGTTTCTTTTTCCCCATGCTTGAACTATTATGTGTGTGCAATTCACTGAACGATTATCCCCAATTGTGCAGGTTTCTACTGCTGTTGTGGGACCTTATAATAGCATGCTCTCAACTCATTCTCTACTTGAACACGATGATGCTGCTGTGCTTCTTGACAATGAAGCTATATACGATATCTGTAGGAGATCCTTAGACATTGAAAGACCAACTTATTGAAACTTGAACCGCTTGACATCCCAAATTATCTCTTCGTTGACCACTTCATTGAGGTTTGAGGGTGCCATAAACATGGACATCGCAGAGTTTGGACATTGCAGAGTTTCAGACTAACCTTGTGCCGTATCCTTTTATCCATCCCATGCTCTCATCATATGCCCCAGTAATCTCAGCTACAAAGGCTTACCGTGAGCAGCTATCAGTTCCTGAGATTACAAGTGCTGTTTTTCAACCATCAAGCACGATGGCTAAATGTGATCCAAGGCCTGGGAAGTACATGGCATGCTGTTTAATGTACTATGGAGATGTTGTACCTAAGGATGTCAATGCTGCTGTTGCTACCATCAAAACTAAGTGGACTGTTCAGTTAGTATATTGGTTAGTAGACATCTTTTACATTTCATTTCGAAATAATTATGTATAAGCAATCTGATTGTCATTATTACATAGAGTTCGCCAAGGGGAAAACATTATTTTGCCTTCGGTTTGTTATCTGAATGATTGTCAAGCATCTTTTATTTCAGGTGCCCTACTGGTTTCAAGTGTGGTATCAACTATCAGCCACCCACTGTGGTACCAGTGGGTGATCTCGCCAAGGTACAACGTGCAGCATGTATGATCAGCCACCCACTGTGTATGATTGGCAGAGGTTTTCTCCCGTATGCCAAGAGAGCATTTGTTCACTGGTATGTAGGTGAAGGAATGGAGGAAAGTGAATTCTCATAAGCCTGTGAAGATCTTGCTGCTCTCGAGAAAGACTATGAGGAAGTTGGCGTAGAAGGTGCGAAGATGAATAAGAACCAGAAGATTACTAGATCTATATTTCATGAAAGCAGCAGCAAATGGTCCATCATGTTCTTCAATTCATTTCAGTTCATCAGGTATTCTTATTGTTGTAAATTTGTGCATGTATACTTCATGTCTTGAATTTGTCTACCTTTGTATGTCTTTGCTCTGAACGTGGGTTGGTTTAAGTGTAGTTGTGAGAACCTATAGTTTCTGTCCTATAAGATGTGGCCCCTTTCAATGTCTAATAAAACTTCTGCTTTGTGCCATGATGTAATATAATGCAAGTCAAAATTTCCCAGAAAAATAACAGAAGCAACTAGAAAGTAAAGATTTCCCAATTTTCTATTTGGTAGGTGATTAAATATTTTGCTACAAACTGAGAGGTATGTAATTGGAAATAGAAGTTTTCCATTTAAGAAAAACAATATTTAAATAAAAAGAAAACATAAGGATTGATAAATAAAGTCCAAATTGTTGTTAAAAAATTTTTAATGAGTTTTTTTTTTAATGTAATTGCTAATCCCGTTTATTCATCAAATAAATAGCTTAATTAGATGAGAACATTACTTTTTTTTTCCTATTATAAATAGAGACAAGACTTAATGAAATTTTTATTTGCAATTTGTGAAGTTCGATATTAAAAATGATTCATTAAAAATTTTAATCTAAAATTGAAATTCATAAATTAAAAGATTTTAGATTAAAAGTATTATTAAATCATTTTTAATATTGAAATTCACTAATTTCATTTAAAAATTTTTATAGAAAACTAGCTATATTGACTTGTGAATAGTTTTTTTAAGAGGTCAAAAATAAATTAATTAATCAACTATTTACTTATATTTATGTATCTGAGATTGTTTAGAATTGAAATTAACATTTTATCAAATTATGGACTAAAGATTTTTTTAAATCTAATATCTAATAATACCAAATAAAAGAGAATTTTGCTAATGATCATCTTGAGATAGTTTTTAAAATTACAAATCTTTTAACAGTTAAATATCGCATTTAATACAATAATATTATAATATTATAAATAATTTTTTAATTAATTTTAAAAAAATACTGATGATAAAATCTAATTTGAATCCATGATGAAATTTTGATAGGTAAGAAGCATGACTATGTGAGAGAACCAAAATTAAATTAAATTAAATTATATAATTATTTAAACAAATTAAATTTTACACTGTCAATTATAACTCATTGCAGTTAAAGAGATTTTATTTTCTTATAATATTTAAAGTTTTCAAGTATGGGTGAAACATCTTACTAACGGATCATAAAATTTTATTATTTTTTATTCACTAGTTCACCGTAACTCATTATTAACTAAAATTAATTATATTAATTTGTGTGCATTTGCAAATACTATAGTACTTAATTTATTAACCCAAATAGCAATTTAGTAAATTGAAATGATTCAACTAAGCCTTAAATTAATTAATCAATTGTTGGATAAAAACGATGAAATGGTGTTTTTTTAAATATAATGTTTGAAGAACATTATCTTCACCTTCCAGTTTGAATTAATGTACATTAAATTCATCTTACAAATTTGCTAATAAAAAAATTCTTGATAATTTTAAACACTTGACACCAAGAATTAAGAAAAAAAAAAAACACTAAAAAACAACAAACTTTAAATTTTAGTAAAATTATATATATTTAGTAAAAAATATATTTTATATTTTATATGTTGATATAATAATTTGACATAATAATTTTTTATATTTGATACAACACGAACATAATATAAATGTATAAATTATCAAATCTACATTAAATTGATGTAGTCAATAACTAAATTCCCAATACATAATACTTTCTTCTAAGTAATTTTTCAACTTATTACATTTAACCTCGAACCACTTTGAGCAAACTTTTAACATCATTAATCACATTTTCATATCGGAAATAAATCGAATGTCTGCTCTTCTACCATTGTTTCAAGCCGTTTTACTATACTTCTTTCAAGATCTTCAAAGAGCTCATCGGCAGTCCATGACAACATCAATGTCTCCATATCACTATCGGCGTAATGAGCTTGCAGTGTGATTTGGAGGCAACTTATGAGATGACGATGCAAGAACAGAAAATAAGCAAAAAAAATCCAACTCAGATATTAATCAAATAAGTTCTCTACTAAGTAAACCATCAAAGCTATAAAATTGAAGATGAGTAGTTAAAAAGGAGAAAGAATGCTAGTAATTGGATTAAGAAAACAAAGTATAGTCTATAGTGCAAGGGACAACTCATGTTTCGAGTATAAATTTGATGATAGTTGCATCTTATGCCATAGTTTAAAATTTTCTTCCATAACTCAGTAACAAAATAATTTCTCAAAAACAAATGCCATATTCAAGTAAGAGATTATATACGCTAACAAATTTAAGGAATTTGGATCACATCGTCTCCTCATAAAAATCTAGGATTTGTTCACTGGCATTTCTGAAGAAACTGAAGACCACTGAAGTTACAAGGGCCTATGTCATAAAAAAAACAAACATGATTACAAAAATACAGTTTACAAACAACTAAATGAAGAAATAAGATAAAAATGATGAATCACTATAAGCTACCATGCTATTGCTTTTAGAACACATAATTACTTATGAAGAACATTTACCAAACATTGTGCATCAATAAAGACCCCAAAAATTGAAAATTTGATTCTTCTTCATGTTGGCAAAGGGAGGAATAGGTGAGTAAACACTTCAAATTTCAGTAGTATATTTTCTATGACATTGTTTAAACTTTTTTTTACATACTATATTATTAGATCTGTAACTAATACATTCACCAATTTGGTTATTTCAATGCTTAACTTATCCTAAACAATTTTGATTAGAAAATGAAAAGAATAAAAAACCAAAATAGAAACAAGTATTTAACTAGTAAAGCATGTTTACTGGTCTTGGATAGTTGTTGGAGACTCCCATAATTAACTTATGGTGTCAGAAGTGAATACACTTTATCACTATTCATTCTAGGATAGCACAATCGAGAACATAACTCGAATCTATAAGAAAATTCACTTTAATTTTGCCTTATATGTATGTAAAATAACCAGTGCCTGTAATGATAATTATTCTCTTAGTGATTCTCACCATCTACATCTCTTACACCACATCAAATTAACATGTAAACAATAATATTTCTCTTCCTTTGTCTATTTTCAAGTGTTCCATCTAATATCCCTAACTGGCTGAATCCTAAATCCTAACCCAAGGAAAGGATCAAATATTTAAAGATTGCATGAACAATTTTAAGAAAATCCAAATGTTATTGCATAATATCTTGATTATGTATTTGCAAATTACATGAGTGTTAGAAAACAAATAGCATCAACTAATTGGTGTGAATGAAAAATTAATAATTGGTAAGTATGAAAAGCTAACGTCTAACTATCATTGAATGCATATGCAATAGCATAAAGAAGACAAATACAATAAAATATAACAACCAAGCATTTTCCCCATAGTAGAAAGTTGATAACCATATATAAATATAGAAATGCAACAAATTAACAGTAAAGAAAATAATAGAGAGGAAACTCAATAGTAACAATGGTAAAAGCTTATCAAATGCTAATGGGAGCACAAACCTATAGTTTAGGACTTAGGTCATCATTCATGACTTCAACTAATGTGATTACAACTATCTCATGATATCAGTATTGCAACTTCGGACATAAGGCCACAAGCAACTATTTAATAGCATTAATAGCTGCCAATTGAACCCAAGGATGGGAATCATTTACTAACTCCAAAACCATTGGCACTACCTCTTCCAAATTTTCTAGCATCATCTGCACAAACAAGGTAAAAACATAAGCGAAACTTATTTGGAAGTAAATGAAACAGAAAAGCAATCTTCTCATAATTAGCTCTACCTCGAAACCAATAAGCATGTCTAAAGGAATTCTTTATCAGATTAACAACAGAGAAACTATTTTACATCAAATACAAGAAATGCATAAATGCTCATCTAGAATAAACAATGTATATATATATATATATATATTGTATATATGTATCAAATCTAATCAAATTAATTATTGCAATTTCAAACCTTTGAAGTGAATAAAACATGTTAGCAATCTTATCAAAATAAACTTTCTCATCCAACCAATAATAATTAACAAATGAAGCAAGTCTTAAATTTAATTAATTAAGAGCAAAACATATACCATGAACTCTACGATAATAACAAGCGAAATAAATTGCCGATCTGCAATAAACTGATATAGAACATTAAATATGATCAAATCAATTACAAATGTAACTTCAAACCTCAAAATAGCCCTCAGCAATTTTTGGAATAGCAATGAGACTAGCATGCCACTGTTGCCATATGGAAATACCCAACAAATGTGAAAACAAGTGTATAACCCACTGAAAGATCGTCTTTTCACCTAACAAAACAGACAACTTACTCAAATATTTTTTTAGCTAGTGTATAATCGCTTGTCCCCTAAAAATTGTCAACCCTATACGCATCCTCATCCACATTCTCAACATCAAATAACATATACATGAACTCATCAAACAACTTTTTTATAAATCGTGGCTCCTTGCTTATCATTCTTAGAGCCTTCTCCACCAATGCCATTAGGAATCCAATTACCAAATGTATTCAATTACCAAATGTCTAATGTGTACCTCTAAACTATCATCAACTGTGGTCTTCAACATCAAACGCAATACTTTCTCTAATTGCATCTTAAAAAACACTGGGTTAGTTTTTGCTAACTTAATTAACAACTGCAAAGAATCCTTCGTCTGTGATTCTAATCCTGAATTCAGACCCTCAGTCAAAGTGTTCATCATCAATCGCAATAAATAATTAAACCTATTAAGATCATTCTGATTTGGAATAAACTAAACAAAACTGATTGAAGCATCCAAAGCAGCAATGTTAACATCCCAACTCAAACAATTACCCTAAGATACTTCAAAATTTTCTTGGAAAGTGTTTAAATAAGGAATTAGGGCGGCATTGCCATCTAACTTTTGAGCCAACCTCTTAAAAACCAAAAGCACGTATTCTTGAAGATTGGTACTTTGAGAATTCACAGATTTAAACAGGAACGGCAATAGCTCCGGCCATCTGCCAGTGGTGTGAAAGTCAAAGATGGTTTGGAAGAGGTTATCAACATTTAATTTTAACAATTCATTTTTGAAAGCAGATAGAAGGGCTGATTTGAAGGTATCAAGTGTGGCTTCATCCAGGAAGAAAATGTGGAAGGTGAAAATTTCGTCAAGATGTAAGGCGGCTTGGGTACTGAGCTTAGGGAGAGAAGATGAGAGAAGTCGAGAGAGAGCGAGTGATAATGAATTAAGGCGAAAACCTTCTAGCGAGAGAGAAGAGAGATTTGGCTCAGGAAACCTAGTCTTCGTCCTTGGAAATTAGTTGAAAGATGAGGATTTTTAATTGGTCCAAGTTAAGGCCCAAAATGTCATCGAGCATTTAGGGACGGAGCTGAGTGGAATTGGAATCGTTCAACATGGTGGCTCTCCAAAGGCATGGTTTTGTTATTTCTCTTTCTGGGAGAATCTAATAGTTTTCGTTCCCTAGAAGCAGAGCTGAGTGGAAATGGAATCGGTGGCCATGGTGGTTCTCTCGAAGCTTAGTTTTGTTCTCTCTTTCTTAGAGAATCGAGCAGTTTTCGTTTTGTTCCTTGAAAGAAAGTATGAAAATGCTGATGCTAGGGCTCCAAGTAAACTAAGCAATAGTGGGAGAGAGAGCAATGGAGCACAGTGGCCCTATCGTCGTGGTCAACACGAAAAGAGCCCACCAGTTTTCATCTGATAGTCAGTCATTCCATTGTTAGAGACACATGAACCCATCTTTGTCAAGGTCTTTATCAGCAACATTATAGTATTGAGTGTGAAGCAACACAATAATGTAAAAATAATATATCATAACAAATTTATAATAATAAGTAATAATTAACAATGAAAAAAATAAAACATCTTAAAATTTACATAAAAATAATATATGATAATAAATTTATAATAATAAATAATAATTAACAATAAAAAAAATAAAACACATTAAAATTTACAAAATTTATCCATGTGAACATGAAATACCTCATGGGCCTTCTCAGAAATTTTATCTATGTTCACATCAACTTATTATGTCATTTTAAAAGTTATTTATTTAAAAAATTAATGATTTCCATCCACTCAAACTTAAATTAAAAACCCATCAAATGCTTTTTTCTTAAATTATAAGTCTCAAATAAAAATATTAATATATTAAATTAATATAAATTTTATATAAAATTTCAATTCAAATAAATTCTTTTTATGCCATTTCATATTTTACATTTCATATTAGAGTTTTATGATAAAGAGAAGTACAGTTTTGTTGCTTCGCATTAAACTAATCAAACACATTTATACCAATAGTCAATATCATTGCCGGACTTAATCATGAATTAACTGTTTTTATTATGCGCATTTCGCATCACTGTTGGGAGACATTGATATTGCTTAAAGTTATGATAAATTAAGCCCATAGACATTCAAGCATATCGATATTTTAGAAATTCAAAAGAGTTACTTTCAAATGCTGACAATCTAATGCTTTCTCTTTATATTAGCCTAGAATTTTAAGCTTCTTCATGGTTTTAGTGCAAGGAAATACAGTAAGAAGTTTGAGAAAAAAAATCATAAAGATGGAAATCATGCAATTTCAATAAAGGATGAAATGTTTATGAATAGGAAAAATAGAATTACCCCACTGTCATAATGCAGTATACAATTAAACATATTGAACAAACAAAGAGAAACCTGCATGGGACACTACATGTTTCTGATGGATGAAAGGGAAAAACATTTTTTGGTCGTAGGTAAAAAAAAAAAAAAATTCAACAGCGCTAGCTAAAAGGAACATATAATTTCTTAACAATATTAAAATTTTTAATAAATCTGATAATTTATGTATTTATATAATATTTATTATATAAATATTTATAAATATAAAAGTTATTATATCAAATTAATATTAACACGCTAGACAAGGACATGCTTGAAAGTGAGAAAATTAAAATTCATGTCGGCATTTTAATTTAAAGTGGAGGGAGTTTAAAACAGGTGAGAAAAAGTAAGAGTGACGTAAATTATTTATCTCATTTGGATTAAGAGTGTAATCAATCGAGTTCGAGTTGATACAGTATTAAGTTTGAATTCGAATTTGATTCGAACTTCGAGGTTAAAAATTTAGCTCGAATTCGATTGAGTTTTATTTTTATAGCTCGAGCTTGATTCGAGATAGAAATCGAGCTACTCGAACTCACTCAATTAAGCTTGATTAATATGTAAAAATAAGCTCGATTCTTATATTCAACAAAGTTTTATTATTTGTACTCGAGTTTGAGCTCAAATTCAAAAAAAAAATTTAATTAAAATAATAAAAATATATTTAAATATAAAGCTCATTAAGCTCATGAGCTACTCGACAGCCAGGTATAAGAATGCTCAAATTTGGCTTGATCGATAAGTCGAGCTATTTAATGCTCGAGCTCGACTCGTATAATATCGAGCCGAATTGAAGTTTTATTCGAATCGACTGAATAAATTACGAGTACTAATATATCATTACACCCTTTATTTGAATAAACAAATTAAAAAAAAAATCACGTGGGCATTTTATGTATTCTTTTATGTTATATAAGGATGCGTGTCTTTTGCTCTACAAAATTTAGTTTTTATTTACGTTATGTTTGAATAAATATTAGTAAAAGAAAAAAAAGGAAAGTTAAGTAAAGGAATAGAATTTTTTTAAAGAAAAGGAAAAGAGATATTAATCTTTTGTTTAGATAATTAAAATTAATGAAATAAAAAAAATAAAAGAATCCTAACAACTATTGTTTGGTTAAATAATAGAAAGAAAAGGAAATGATTTATTATATTATTTTTTTAATTATACCTTTGATAATTTTTATTTTTACTATAATATTTGCATGTTTGTGTTAACATATTCCATGTTTTCAATTTTCCTTTATTTCTTCATAAAAATAATCATCAATGAAATTTATAGAATTCATAAAAATAAAAGAAAATATTTGAGACAATAAATTTATGGGTAAATTATGTTTTATATTCTCAATCTAATTTTAGAATTCAAAATCATACACTTTTAGTTTAGAGAAATTAATAAGGATATAATAATCATTTTATATTTTAAAAATTTTATTCTTTTCCTTTCCCCTCATTTCCCCCCAATTTGAGGTAATTAAAAAATAAAAAAAGTTAAGAAAAACTTCATTTTCTTTATTTTTATTTATGTCATATACAAATAAAGAAAAGGATTTCCCATTTACTTTTGTTTCCTTTCCATTCTTTTCTTTTTCTCCTCTTACCTCAATCCAAACATAAGCTTAGATAAAATAATATATTAATTTAAAAAGAGCAAAATTTTAAATATTTATACTTGTATATAAAAGTAATCTCGAGAAGATCAAATATCAATTTTGTTGCAACATTAGCATTTTCATTGTTCACCAACCGAACTTGCTTCAGCCTCCCATTTCCCACTCTTGGTCATGACAAATCTAGTCCCTTACAAACCACAAAACTCCATTTGACCAGTTTCACTCACAATTTCTCACTACCAAAACCCATTTTTGAATCATCAACCACCATTACACAAGTTTAAAATAGCCCTTGATAGCCCTCATTTTACAAGCCTAAAACCACAAATAAAATACACAAAAAATCATAAAAAAAGAAAAAAATCTCATCTCTTTCAAATAGCAACAGTACCAAAAAGCCAAAAAAAAAAAAGAGAAAAAGGGTTCAATTTGAGTAATTTGGTTAGGTAATTTGGAAGGATTTTGGGTTTTTTTTTTAGAAAGGTAAAAAGAATGGAGAAGGAAGAAAAGATAAGGGGCGGTGCGCTGATGGCAGCATCGATGATTGGCAGTTGAGAGGAGGGCTTAGTCTCGTGTTGACAAAAGCAGGAAAAAAAAAAAGAAAAGGATAAGAGAAAGAAAGGAAAGAAATGATGAAAAAAAAAAGAAGGAATGTGGCTAATCCAAATTGAACCCTTCGATTGAATTGACCTAACCCGATTTAATCCCAGCTTGGCCCGTGAATCCATTATGGCCTTCCTTTTATGGACAATTAAATACACAATGAAACGGGTAAAAGTAACCGAACAAAGAATACAAAATTTTCCTTTTAAAAATATTTTAGGTTAAATTATTAAAAAATTCTTTAACTATTTTAATTTTTAAAATAAGTTTTTATATTTTTATTGTACTTAAATAAATCTTTATTATTTAATTTATATTCAAATAAATATTTATTTCCAACAAAAACTACTTTATATTAAGGGTTTATTTAGGTATAAATTGAAGATTATTTAAGTGCAAACTAAAATTCAGCAATTTATTTAGATATAATAAAAGTATAATGATTTATCAAAGTAAAGTGATAAAATTAAGAGATTTTTGTTATTTTAGCCAAAATTTTTTAAAATTTCAAAAACAAACTTTCAAAATTATAATATCAATTCTTTTTTAATTCTTTGACAATCTCTCATATCCAAAACTCATTACATCTAATAACTCTCTCTCATATTCTCTCAAAATGTATTGTAATTTTCTAAACAACACACATTTAACCCTAAACATAACCACAATTTATAGGCATAAAAAACCTTCCTTAACTAATTTATCAAAATTCAGAGTTAATTACTAAGTAACTTTTTAACTAAGATACATAATGTTAAACAATCATAATTAAATTTGAGATTACTGTATTCAAGGTCCTAAGTTTTGTTTAAAAAATATTGATCCTATTAAAATTTTATTTAAGGAATCCTAACACAACTTATCAGACTCTATTCAATAATTGATCATAATTTAGAAAATCCTAATCAAACTAAACTTTGTTAAACTATCTTCAACAAACATAAAAATTTATTTTAAATGATGCTTAAGGCATGAAGATCGTACACAAAATACATGTGAAAAAGACTATGTATGCATGCCATGTATGCTTAAGTTAAATTTACATTGTGCTATTATGAACTTATAAACAATGATACAATTATTCTTATGCCTACTTAAATGATATATCTAGGGTAGAAACCATGCCAGCAACAACGCATGGGTCTCCCTCTAGTTTAATTTTAAATTTAGCCTTGTATTGCGATAGGAGTAGTTGCCCTCGAATTTTTCTCTCCAAAAAAGAAGTTTACTTTAACAAATGGCAAATCTTTGCAAGTAAAAACTAAATTAAGTAATTTTAAACTTAAATAATGAAATAATATGAAAATTATAAAAAAATAAATATAATTAAATATTTTAATAAAAATTATATATGAATTAAAAAAACATATTCAATATGATAATATAAATTATAGTCCAATACTTTTTATAATTTATATGTTATAATAAAAAAAAAAGCATTCCACCGAATTCTTGTCCTTAAAAGGATCTTGTCATTTATGTCACGTGGAAGAAAAGCAGAGGAAAAGGGTCAAAACGAGAATATGAATGCAAGGATCTAAATATAGTTCATTTCTTATAGTACGAATGGTTAAAGAGTTCAATTTTTTTTAAGTAAAATTTTAGTTTTAAGTTTTGTGAATAAAAAAAACAGACGTTGAAAGAATTTATTTCTCTTATAAAATTCGATTTAACTTAATTTTAAATTAATCAGATTTAAAGTGACTATCAAACATTAAATCATCTAAAATAAAAAAAAATATTTCATTCAAATTTAAACATAAAATAAATAGAATAAAAGTTTCATTTTTCTCAGAGCAAGTAAGCATTCCTCTTTTTGTACCTCCTTTAAAGTTTAATCAATTGAGTAGCATTAAATTTGAGGTCCCCTTGGCCAAAAAAATTGAGTCCCCCACTCCCCTTTCCATATGAAAAAAAATTCCAAACAAGGACAGAAGGAAAGGGAGTTTAAGTTAAAATTTCACATACTCTTTTTGTTATATTCTACGAGAAAATGTTAATTGTGCATAGTGATAATGATTTAGATAATCTTTAAAAAATTATTTTTTTAATTTAAGGAAAATAATATATTAAATACATTTTTTCTTAAATAATATTTTAATTATCTTTAAATAATATTTAATAGACAACTGCTAATTGAATTTTAGTTTTAGATTATAATCTATTTTATAAAAAAAAATAAAAACAAAAAGAGAGAGAAAGCCATATTTGAGAGGTTATAGGGAATGATTTTAGTTTGATTTAAAAAAAAAAAGAAATATATATTTATAAACGGTTAATTCAAGAAAGGGAAAATAACAATAAAACCTACATTACAACATGCTTTTAGTTTTAAGACTACCCTTTTCATAAATTAATAAAAACAATTACTGAAAGCATCCTCTTATATTTATACAAAATTTTCTTTTAATACTTCACAATCTTTTGATCATGAATATTTTTAATGGATGTAGCTATCCATCAATTTACCTTAAACTACGAACTAAACTATATATAAACTCATTCATTCAAAATTATTCATTAGGGAATGAAATTCCTCTCGTTCTCCTTTTTTTTTTTTTAATTGGGAAATTATCTTCTTTTCTAAGTTCCTTGAAGACTTCAAGGAAAAGTACAGGTTTCTTTTTTTCGTATGCTTGAACTATTATGCATGTGCAATTCACTGAACAATTATCCCCAATTGTGCAGGTTTCTACTACAGTTGTGGAACCTTACAATAGCGTGCACTCAACTTATTCTCTCTCCTTAAACACAGATGTCGTTGTGTTTCTTGACAATGAAGCTATATACGATATCTGTAGGAGATCCTTGGACATTATGTATAAGCAATTTGATTATCATTATTACATAGATTTTGCCAAGTGGAAAACATCGATGTTGCCAACGGTTTGTTAACTGAATGACTGTGATGCATCTTTTGTTTCAGGTGCCCTACAGGTTTCAAGTGTGGTATCAACTATCAGCCACCCACAGTGGTACCAAGGGGTGATCTTGCTAAGGTATAATGTGCAGCGTGTATGATCAACAATAACTCAGCTATGGCAGAGGTTTTCTCCCGAGTTGACCACAAGTTTGATCTCATGTATGCCGAGAGAGCATTTGTTCACTCTTATATAGGTGAAGGAATGGAGCAAGGTGAATTCTCAAAAGCTCGTGAAGATCTTGCTGCTCTTGAGAAAGACTATGAGGAAGTTGGGGCAAAAGGTGCAAAAGATGAAGAAGAACCAGAAGATTAGTAGATCTGTATTTCATGAAAGCAGCAACTAATGGTCTATCATGTTCTTCAACTCATTTCAGTTTTTATTATTGTAAATTTGTCCATGTACTTCATCTGTTGAATTTGTCTACCTTTTTATGTCTTGGCTCTGAACGTGGGTGGTTTAAGTTTAGTGAGAATTTATAGTTTCTGTCCTATGAGATGCGGTCCATTTCAATGTCTGATAAAGCTTTTGCCTTAAGCCATGACTTAAAATTCAATTGAATCAGTAGCATCTTCCCACAAAATTATAGTCTAGATAGAGCATGTAGATGAGCAACCAAAAAATATCTAGAGCACATGGGAAATTTGTTCTGTAATCAAAATTGCTTAGGTAAGTCACAGTGGAACTCATTGAATGATGATTTCTTTAAAGAAAATTGTAAATAGCATATCAAGACCTTATCCTCTTCCATCTCAATAAGTAGGTGCCTTTGTATGTCCTTATCACCAAGTTGTTTGATTAGAGAAATAAATGCTCCTGCAATTTTTTCCATTGTCATTAACACAATCAAAATGGACATTAAGATAATTGAATTTAACTTACTTGACTACTTGAGTAAACAATTTAGCCGTGAATTTGTAACTCTGTTGCATTTTGAACTGACATTTTACATTTACAAAGTATAAAAATTAAATTTGTTCGAATTATTATACGGTAACTAAATTCTGATTTTTGCATGAATTGAAAAACAAAATCCCATAATTTAACCTTAATTTTTTTGTTGACCCTCTTTTTCTAGCACCTGGCCTGATCCTGTAATTGGTACTAACTTACAAATAAAAGTAGCCAGCTTCATCATATAGTGGTAAAACATAATAAATCAACTTCATGACAAGCTTAAATTTTCAAATTCGTTCCCAACATCAACTGCGATCTCGGCATCAAATTCGATGATCCCTGTGCCTTTCACAAATCATCCAAAGGTTGCTCTTGAAACCTGTCCCTCCATTTCTTCTGCAAAATTATTGACCAAACTATCCCCATAGAGTATGCAATTGATCTGGTTATTCAATTTACTCTAACAAGAGCTCTTCAATATCATTGAATAGCATGAAGGCTGATATATATCCACCAAAAGACAGTACAATGTGATTTGGAGGCACTTATGAGATGGCGATGTAAGAACAGAATATAAGCAAAAATCAAAGAACAGAAGATAAGCAAAAATCAAACTCATATATTAATCAAATATGTTCTGTACTAAGTATACCATCAAAGCTATAAAATTCAAGACATCCTCTAGAGTTTACCTAGTAGTTAAAGAAAAGAAAAAAGGGAAAGAATGCTTTTTTTTTTTCTTTTAATATATATAATAGTTAAATTATACAAACCTTCCTCTTATTTTTAACAAGACTACAGAACAAAACTTAACTTACTGCTATTTGCAATGCTAGAGATGAATTGTGATTGGAATACAATTTGGTGATCATTACAATGCAGTTTAAAATCTTCATCCTTAATTATACAAAAAAAGTAATAATAAAAATAATGCTAGTAATTGGATTCAGAAAACAATGTTGTAGTCTGCAATGCAAGGGACAACCCGTGATTGGAACATAAATTTGATGATAATTGTATCTTATGCTGTAGTGTAAATCTTCTTCCTTAACTCAGTTAACAAAATAATTTCTCAGAAACAAATGCCAAATTCGAGTGAAAGATTATTTACCATTGTACAACAATCATTCACAATCTTCCTATATAGATCTTGGATATTTTGGGTGCCATTGTCGATGAAACCAACGAAAGCTGAAGCAGCAGGGCCCTTCTTACACAGACAAACAACAAACGTGACTACAATAATAAAGGTGTATATTTTCTGTGATTAGACATTTTTTTCCATAATATATTATTTAGATCTTCAAATGAATACTTTCACTAATTTAATTATTTGAATGCTTATCCTAACAATTTTAATCAGACCATGAAAAGAAAAAAAAGGTATTTAACTAGTATGGCAAGTTTACTAATCTTAGATAGCTGTTGGAGACTACCATAAATAACTTATGGTGTCAGAAGTGAATACGTATTATCACTATTCATTCGAGTATAGCACTATCGAGAACATGACACTTAAATGGATAAGAAAATTCACCTTAATTTACTTAAAAGGTATGCAAAATAACCAGGGCTTGGAATGATAATTATTCTCTTAGCAACTTTCACAATTTGTGTCTCCAACCCCACATCACACTAACACATACACATAAAAATATTTCCCTTCCTTTGTCTATTTTCATTTGTTCTAATACTGAATCCTAAGTCCTAACCTATGTAAAGGCTCAAATATTTAAAGATTGCATAAACAATTTTAAAAAATCCAAATATTATTGGACAATATCTTGATTATGTATTTGCAAATTACATGACTGCCAGAAAGCAAATAGCATCAACTGAGTGATGTGAATGAAAAATGAATAATTGACAAGTACAAATAGCTAGCGTCTAACCATCATTGAATGTATATGCAACAACAAAACAAAGACAAATACCATAAAAAAATACAAACAAAAATCACCCCACGTGCAGAAGTTGATAACTCTATATCAATCTAGTAATTCAACAAATTAACAAAGAAGAAAAAAAGACAGGAAACTGTAACTCAAAAAAGTAGTAATAATGATAAATGCAAATGCTAAAAGGTGCACAGACCTTCAGTTTAGAACTTTGGAAGTCATTCATAACTTCAACTAATGTGATTAGACTTATCTCATGATATTGTGTTTGCAACTCTGGATCCAACTCCTCAGACAACTCTCTAATAGCATTAATAGCTACCAATCGAACACAAGGATGTGTATCATTTAATGACTTCAAAACCTTAGGCACTACCTCTTCCAAATTTTCTAGCATCACCTGTAGCAATAAGGTAAAAACATAAACGAAATTCATTTGGAGGTAAATGAAGCATACAAACAAACTTCTCAAGATTAACTTTGCCTCCAAACCAAGAAGCATGTCTAAATGAATTCTTTATTAGATATACAACAGAGAACCTATGTTACATCAAATACACGAAAAACATAAATGCTCATATAGAATAAACAAAAAATATAGAGTATATATGTATCAAACATTGTCAAACATTTGAAGTGAATAAAACATGTTAGCAATCTTATCAAAATAAACTCCCTCATCCAACCAATAGTAATTAACCAATGAAGCAAGTCTCAAATTTAATTAATTAAGAGCAAAACATATACTATAATCAAATCAATTATTAATGTAACTTCAAACCTTATAACAATCCTTAGCAATTTCTCGAATAGCAATGAGAGCAGCATGTTGTTGTTGCCATATGGATGTACTGAACAAATGTGAGAACAAGCGTAGAACTGACTGAAAGATCGGCTTTTCACCTAACAAAATAGACAACTTACTCAAACTTTTTTTTCCTAATATGTAATTACTCGTCTCCCAAAATTTTCCAGCCTCATACTCATCCTCATCCTCATCTACACCCTCAATATTGAAACATATAAATTAACTCATCAAACATCCTCTTTATAAATTGTGGCTCCTTGCTTATCATCCCTGGATCCTTCTCCACCAATGTTATCAGGAATTCAATCGCCAAATGTTTTATGTCTACCTCTAAACTATCCTTAACTGCGATCATCAACATCAATCGTAGTACTTTCTCTAACTGCCTCTCAAAGAACCTTGGGTCAGTCTCTGCTAATTTGATTAACAACTACAAAGATTCCTCAGACTTTGATTCTGACCCTGAATTCAGAGCATTAGTCAAACTCTTCATCATCAAAGGCAATAAATAATCAAACCTATTAGTATCGTTCTGGTTTGGAATAAACTGAACAAAACTGATTAAAGCATCCAAAGCAGCAATCTTAACATCACACCTCATACAATTATCCAAACATTCTCTAAAAATTTGCTGGAAAGTCTTTAAATGAGTAATTAGGGTAGCATTGCCGTATAAATTTTAAGCCAACCTCTTAAAAACCAAAAGTGCATATTCTTGAAGATTGGGACTTTGAGAATTCATGCAGTCAAACAGGAACGGCAATAGCTCCGGCCAACTACAAGTGGCATGGAAGTCAGAGATGGTTTGGTAGATATTATCGACATTTAATTTAAACAGTTCGTTTCTGAAGGAGGATAAAAGAGCCAACTTGAGGGTGTCAAGTGTGGTTTTCTCGGGCACTTAAAAGGAGGAGGTGGTGAAAATTTCGCTGAGAAGTAAGGCAATTTGGGCACAGAGATCAGGAAGAGAAGAGGAGAGAAGTCGGGAGAGAGCGAGGGAGAGTGAATCAAGATGACAATTTCTAGTACAGAGAAGAAAGATTTGGCTCGCGAAACCTGGTCTTCGTCGTTGGAAATCAGCTGACAGATGAGGATTTTGAATTGGGTCAGGTCGGGGCCTAAGATGTCCTCAAGCTCTTGGAGGCGGAGCTGAGTGGAAATGGAATCGGTGGACATGGTGGCTCTCCCAAGGCTTAGATTTGTTCTTTCTCTTCCTTTGAGAATCTAACAGTTTTCGTTCCTTCAAAGAAAGTATGAAACTGCGGACGCTAGCACTCCAATTAAATTATGCAACAGTTTGAAAGAGAGAGCCACGGATCAATTCTTCTTTTTCTTTGAGGAAAAGAACAGTGAGAAAAGAGGGAAGAGCTTTAAATGAAAAAGTTTCAGGATTTAAGGTTCTACCTGCAACGACCAATTAAATTTTGCCGCGTGCAGATTGAGAGCCTCTACGTAGCCAGCTATCTACGCAGCCAGCTATACCTCCTAGGTCAGCACGAAAAGAGCCAACCAGTTATTATCAACGCCCAATACTTTAATAAAAACGACAATCAAAACTCAAAAGATCCCCATAAAATTTTGGGATTTTGCTCCTCTCGATTCTGGGTGAGACAAGTTCTAGGTCTTTACCACGCACGCCACCTCATCTAAAAACTAAAAGTAAATCGAGTCTTATTATGCATCCGAATCATGAAAATGGAAAAAAAAAATTTTTTTCTTTTGGAGTTCAAACATTTGAATGAAAGAAATTCTGGAGATTCTTTGAAATTTGAAGATAAGAAATCATATGATAACATAACTGATTTTGCGAATCTGTTAAGATTGGTGGTAAAGGGGAATTGCTCTTTTGTTGAAAACTCAAGGAATTGACGTGCTTGTCAAATAAAAGCTTCGTTTAATTATTGTATGAAATTGCTGGAGAAACTTAAATATTGAAACACTAAAATTTTTTTAATTTTTAAATTCAAAAATCATACGTTACTTAGGTCTGTTTATTTCCTAAAATTCCCTTTTAAAAGATATTTTTTAAAAAATATTTTTTATTATCTAATTGTTTTTTGAAAAATCTGTCTTTTTTAAATAATATTAATATAATTATTAAAATATTAAAAATTATTTATTATTAAAATTATTAATATTCCAAAATATTTATATTTTAATAATAATATTTAATATTAAAATATTATGTTAATATAAAAATAAAATAAAATAATCTTTAATTATTTATATTAATATTTTAAAATATTTAAAATAGTATTATTATTCTTAAGATATTATTTTTATTAATATTAAAATAAGAATATTTATTATTAAAATATTTGAACTATTAAAATATTTATATTTTATATTGAAAGTATATATTATTAAATCATAACAAAATATTTTTATTTGTATTTATTATTAAAATAGTAATATAAATATTTTAACAAATAAAAATAAAAAATTATGTTTTTTAAACTAAAAAATAATAATAATTTATTAAAATATGCATATTAAGAAAATAATATTATTATATTATTTAACATTAATTTTTAAAATAATAAAAATATTATTATATATGTTATTATTTGTTATTAAAATAATAATATAATACTATTTATTATTGACATATTAAAAAAATTTTTGTTTAATAATATACAAAATAAAAATATTTAAAATTGAAATATCAAAAGACTTTTAATGTTGATATTTTAAATTTTTAACTAAAATTAAATAACATATTTTATTAATATAATAATATTTTAAGTAGAATTAAATTAAGATCGAACTTAAAATATGATATTCAAAATTTTACTTGAGTAGAACTATAAATTATTTAATATTAAAATATTAAAAAATTTTAATATTAATACTTTAATTTTTTAAAGTAAAATTAAATAAATTTTTTTTATTAATATAATAAGATTTTAAATCGAGTCAAAATTATGTTTGAATTTAAAAGAATCATGTACAAAATACAACTTAAATAAAATTATACTCAAATATATTTATAAATAATTTTACTCATAATCAATAATAATTTTTTTTTTTAAATTACCTCAATTTTCATTTATGAATAAATTATTTTTATTAACTAATTAATTTTTTATCAAATAAATATTTAAAAATATAAAAATTATTTTTCTAAAATCACTAACCAAATAGCCTTTGCATTGTTGATATATCATAACATCTTCGATTGTAATTTCTTATCAATATCCGAACAAAGTTTATCAGTTTACACCCAAAATACAAAGCCCAGTGCAAACTAGTCAGTTTTATCAGTTCTTAACCCATTGGGCAATGGCATTGCAAATTCCCAATGATCAAGCTGAGGTAGACAATGTATTTGGCATGTGGATCTAAGTCTACCATTCATATCGACTCAGCCCATTTTCCTCATTACCCTTACCATAACAAGCTTTCTCATCTTCAACGTCGCCTTCAATATGCAAGAAACCATTTCTCTGGGACATCCCTTCAGTTCGAAGAAACCATTCATCTCACTTCTTTCACTTCCATATTCAAGATCTTGACATTTCCATATCAAACAAGCCTGCTTGATAAATATTTTTGTAAATCCTACATAATCAACATTTTTTTGTTTGATATTTGTCATTATTCGACCATTTATAATTGATGTAGCTATCTGTCAATATACCCCAAACCATGAGATAAACTATGTAAGCATGATAACAATAAATGTTAATGATTTGTTTAGGCACCTTTCCTCTTCTTGGGAAAGTCTTCTCTTGTAATTTGATGTCCTCTAGTAGCAGTATCCCCCCACTTTCAAAGTTTAAGCCTTTACTAGCTTTATTCTCAGTTTCATCTATATATACACAAGCTCAAAGTCTTCTCCAATCCCCAAGCCAGTCCTGACCTAGAGCCTGCAACAAATTTTTCTTTATTTGATCTGATAATCCCATTTGCTGCTGACAAAGAGGTGACAATTCCATTTTCAATCGATAACACTGCTGAAGGTTTTTCTTTTGATCTACCGAGAACTGCCATTTATGCAAAGCAGAGCCAATGGTCCCCAAGACTAGGAGATCTGTTTGGCTTCAGTGGTATGTAAATTTTGAGTTTTTGTTGTTCATTTTGTTTAGTTTTTTTTAATACTGTTACATATATTTATTTTTTGATGAGTATTGACATTATAATTAATTGTTTGACATAAAGTAGATGGATTCTTTCCTTGTTTTAACAATGATGATAGTGGATGGCCAGATTTCTCAGGCTTGCTTATAGGACAGGTTTTATGAGAGGGCTTCTTCTCGAACATATCGACCAGACAGGTTTGATATGCTGAAAGCTAAATTCATTTTTTTTTTTGTTTCCCGTACCTTTTGTTGGTAGTTTGCCTGCCACCAGATTCAAGCTAAATTTCTTTGAATAAAACTCTTTCATCTTTATATTTATGTCTGGCTTTGTTTCTTCAAACAGGAAAACTATTGCTGCACTTTTCAACGTTACCCGCGATGATATGTTCTATCCCAAGCGAAATTGGACACTATCAGCAAAGGAGCATCTGAACCGAAGTTTGAGTGAAGATGGCCTCATCAGGCAATTGCTGTCGTCGAAACCAACCTCTTTTCTGTCACATCCGCTTCCTGAATGCTCTAATACAATTTCGTCTGTTGAAATTAAAAAAAAAAAAAAAAAGGTAAAGATGGCAGATTTTGATATGGAGGTGAACAGGAGTGGCCCAAATGGGTGCACTCAGCTGGGACTGAAGGGGTTAGAAAATATGACTCTGAATCGGCAGAAGATGATAATGATGTGGAGCTGATGTTTCAGGTGCCCTACTGGTTTCGAGTGTGGGATCAACTATCACCCACCCACAGTGGTACCAGGGGGTGATCTTGCTAAGGAACAACGTGCAGCGTGTACGATCAGCAATAACACAACTATGGCAGAGGTTTTCTCCCGAATTGACCACAAATTTGATCGCATGTATGCCAAGAGAGCATTTGTTCACTCGTACGTGGGTGAAGGAATGGAGGAAGGTGAATTCTCAGAAGCCCATGAAGATCTTGCTGCTCTCGAGAAAGACTACGAGGAAGTTGGGGCAGAAGGTGCCGAAGATGAAGAAGAACCAAGAGATTAGTAGATCTGTATTTCATGAAAGCAGCAGCTAATGGTCTATGATGTTCCTCATCTCATTTCATTTCCTATTTTTATTATTGTAAATTTGTCCATGTACTTCATCTGTTGAATTTTTCTACCTTTGTTTGTCTTGGCTCTAAACGTGGGTGGTTTTAAGTGTAGTGAGAATTTATAGTTTCTGTCCTATGACATGTGGTTCATTTCAATGTCTAATAAAGCTTTTGCCTTGAGCCATGACATGGAATTCAATTGAATCAGTAGCATTTTCCCATAAAATTATAGTCCAAATAGAGCATGTAGATTCGCAACCAGAAAATATCTGGAGCACATGGAAAATTTGTTCGTAATCAAAATTGTTTAGGTAAGTCCCAGTGGAACTCATTGAATGATGATTTCTTTAAAGAAAATTGTAAATAGCATATCAAGACCTTATCTTCTTACATCTCAATAATTAGGTGCCTTTGTATGTCCTTATCTACAAGTTTTTTAATTAGAGAAATAAATGTTCCTGCAATGTTTTCCATAGTCATAAAGATATTTAAATGGGTCGTTTAGATACTTGAATTTGAGTTACTTAACTACCTGAGTAAATAATTTAAAGTTTAATTTGTAATTCAGTTACAATTTGAACTGATATTTTACATTTAAAAAAATATAAAAATTAAATTGTTCAAATTAGTATATAGTAACTAAATTCTGATTTTTGCATGAGTTGAGAAACCAAATCCCACAATTTGACCTTGAATTTTTTGTTGACCCTCTTTTTCTGACACACTGCATGATCTTGTAGTTGGTACTAACTTATGATTAAGATTAGTCAACTTTAAGGGAGATAACGGTTAAATTTGAATTGATTCGATTTTTTTAAATATTATATAATATTATAAAATTTTAAAATTTAATTAAAATTTAAATCAAATTTTTATTCAATTCGAATCGAATCAAATTTTATAGGTTTGATTTGGTTTGATTTATCTATTTTTAATTTTTAATTTTTATATATTATTTTAATATAAAATTTTAATATATTTAAGTATAATTAGATATAAAATTATTATTTTTATATTATAAAATTTTAAAATATATATAAAAACTAAAAAAAATATATAATTCGATTCAATTCATTTTTTTCGGCTTTTTACCTCCCGATCCAAAATTCAATCCGAACCTAATATATATGTTTAACATTCGAACTTGATCGAAACTGAATACTATGATTTTGAATCGATTTTCAAATTTTTTGATTTTTTTTCTCATCCCTGGCTAGCTTCATCACATAAGTGGTAGAACACAATAAATCAACTTCATGACAAGCTTAAATTTTCAAATCCATTCCCAACATCAAATGCGGCCTTGGCATTAAATCCAGTAATCTCTGTTCCTCCACAAATCATCTAAAAGTTGTCGTTGAACATGTCCTTCCATTTGTTCTGTGATATTATTGACCAAACTATCCCCGTAAAGGATCCACTTAATTCGGTGATCCAAGTGCCTTCAACAAGAGCCTTTCGACATCATCGAATTGTGTCTCCTTAGAAGGCCAATCCCAATCTATATCATCCACGGAATGAGACTGTAGTGTGATTTGGAGGCATTTATGAGATGACGATGTAAGAATAGGAGATAAGCAAAAAAATCAAACTTAGATATTCATCAAATATGTTCTCACTACAAAATATTATCCATATATAGAAGCTTGGTTATATTAAAGGTCAAATTTTGTCAGTAAAATAGACTTTTAATCATGGATTTTTAAAACTATTGAATATACCATACTTATACCAATATTTTATTTAACCGTTCATATAAAAAAATTTTTTTTTTACGGTTACTATTCGTCAATATAAATATGTTATATACTGACGGTTATTAACGTAAACATCAATATAGGCTCAAAACAAAACAATATTAGCTTACAAAAAATTGAATGAGATTATTGAAGGTATTTTTTTTTATCAAAAACACCTTCAGTAATCCATTCAAAAATTTTTAGAGAGAGAATATTGAAGGCATTTTCGGTAAAAAATGCCTTTAATAATCCCTACAAAAAAATCTTTTGTATGAATTATTTACTAACAGTTAAATTTCATCTGTAAAAGAGACTTTTACTGATAGATTTTAATACCGTCAAAATATAGCATATTTATACTAACACTTTATTTAACCATCGGTATAAATAAACTTTTTTTTTATGGTATATGACTATCTATCAGTATAAATATGTTATATACTAATTGTTATTAACGTAACTGTCAGTATAGGCTCAAAATAAAAAAAACTATTGGCTTACAAAAAATTGAAAAGGATTATTGAAGGTGTTTTTGACAAAAAACACCTTCAATAATCCATACAAAAAATTTTGAAAGGGATTATTGAAGGTGGTTTTTTACCATAAATGCCTTCAATAATCCTCTAAAAAAATTTAGAATGGATTATTAAAGGTATTTTTTTTTATCAAAAATACCTTTAATAATCTATCATAAAAATTTATTAAGGGAATTATTGACTGCGTTTTTGACCAAAAATGTTTTGAATAATCCACAAATTATTCAAGGTATTTTTAACCAGAAACGCCTTCAATAACATCATTCATTATTTTGTAAGGGATTATTCAAGGCGTTTTCTAGCTAAAAACCGCCTTTAGTAATCTCTTCAAAAAAATTGAAAGGGATTATTCAAGGTGTTTTTGGCCATAAACGCCTTCAATTAATATTTCAATTTTAATATGGTTTCATAAAATTTTAAAATCATTCTAAATCGAAAATCAAATTATAAATAATCTACATATATAGTAATATTTATATTCATATAAATATTTTTCTATGTTCACATAGATATATTCATATAAATATTCAATTTTTTAAAGGGATTATTTAATGTGTTTTCTAACAAAAACGCCTTGAATAATCCTAAAAAAAAATTAGAGGTAATTATTGAAGGCATTTATAGAAGTCAGTTATAGGTTTATATCCATAAAACATTTAGTTTATATATGTGATATTATGAATTACATTTTGAAATTGACATTATGAACATTATAGTATGTCAATAAATTGACCACACATCTGAATTTAAAACTGATAATGTTATCATATAAATATACTTTTTCAAATAATCATACTCAATATATGTGTATTCATATAAGCTGTCAATTGATATAAAACAAATTTATAGCAATAATATTAAACTAATACCCCAATCTAGAAACTTAAATTATTCATTCAACATGGCGTGTTAAAAACATTATAGAAAATAAAATGTATATATTTACACCCAACCAACAATCTCCAACCTCAAGGTTTAGCAAACGATAATATATAATCATACCATTCTTTACGGACTTCATCAAGTTTGTCTATTGTAAAGTTTCCTTTATTCTCCCACTAAAAAAAATCAAAAGTAAATGCTAATAAATAAGAAAATAATTTAGCTTTTTTTTTTTTAAGATATAACAATTTTATGAAATTAATACTAACCTTGAATGGTGTGGTCATAAAATTATATAAAACTATCTCCCTCATAAAACGAAAGATATAATATCCACATTCAGTATATTCTGGTTGACGAGATACCTGAAAAATAAATTTAATGGGTTTAGAAAAAATTTATCAAAACAAACTCATTATAAAAAAATAAGTTTTACAATAATGACACCCATTTTATCTTTGCGTTCATATCAACTATGGATATTCCTCTAAATTGAAAAGAAAAAAATTACTTAATACAAAAATAAAAGTAATTATGAAGAAACAAAAGATAATATGATAACATATAATACCCCTTTATAAAATTTTGAATATCGGGATTAGGCATCGTCGTTGGTTGAGCGAAATTAAATAAGTATGGCATAAAAGAATTTGTATCAATTACAATAAGCTGCTAATGACGACTGCAAAATAGTAAGAATGATATACTCAGATTAAGCATCATCTCAAATTTGAGTGAGGTTGGAATAATTATTTGTATGAATATAACTTACGCAACATTATACGAGAGAAAATAATAATTAGCCTATTTTTGCATGCATTGAGTCACATGATGACAATGAAAAACGAAAATGCCACTCTGCTCACTAATGATCTTCAAGTCAACGAATCTAAATCTATGGGTCATTTGTCTCATCTTGATCTCTCTATATAAGAAGGTGTACGATAACAATCAACAATACTAGTTAGTAATACACTGTAATATAGATTAATACATATTGACTTTGCACATTTAAATTTACAAGCTAACCTCATATAAGCAACAATATCAACAATTGATATTTCATCTAGGTTACAAAATTCTTTAACCTCATCCCCACCAACATAAGAAATTGATGAATGATCAAATAACATATCCTCGGACTCAACAATAATACAATTTCCTCTGGATAAATGATCAAATGAATAATTAGATAACACATCAATGGCAGCCTAAGCAAGGGTCATACTATGAGTCTCAATATCTTGTTACAATATATATGAAATATAAGTATTAAAATCAAATCAATAAATATAATAAACAAATAAATATTAAGTGAATAAATAAAATCATACTTCATGGCTGGTATCGGAGGTTGAGTTTCTTGCTTGACTTGCAACAAAAGCTTGTTCTAGCTAGATGATGCTATCCGACTGGCCTACAGGTATGCTAGGCTGCATTGCTGCCAACATCACCTCCAAAGCTATGAGTCGTTGTTATTGCTCATTCAGGCATTACTCTTGGTCATTAAGTTTTTGCTATTGTTGCTCAATGATATTTCATCCAGGTTACAAAATTCTTTAACCTCATCCACACTAATGTAAGAAATTGATGGATGATTAAATAACCTATCATCGAACTTAACGGTAATATAATTTCCTCTGGATAAATGATCAAATGAATAATTAGATAACACATCAATGGCAACCTAAGTAAGGGTCATCTTTGAGTCTCAATATCTTGTTACAATATATAATTAAATATAAGTATTAAAACCAAATCAATAAATATAATAAACAAATAAATATTAAGTGAATAAACAAAATCATACTTCATGGCTGGTATCAGAGGTTGGGTTTCCTACTTGACTTGCAACGAAAGCTTATCCTAACTGGATGATGATATCCGACTAGCCTACAGGTATGCTAGGCTGCATTGCTGC